TATAAATCCAACATAAAATCCTTCATATGATGCTCAGTTACCTCATAAATAAATCAGTGTGGATTTTTAAAATGCATAATCAGTGTTTCGAGAGGGCCTAAAATCCATTTATTGTGGAATGTTTAGTTTAAGACCATGCTCGAATTTAACCAACATATTTTGATTTTGAAAATAAATATTTACCATCATAATTGTTTGTATATGCTGAGTCCAGTCGTCGTGAGCCAGGTTTAATGTTGGCTCAGTGCTGATCCCACCTCATGTTTAATGCTATTAAATCCAATCACAGTCTGTGGAGAGCTGTTCCAGAGACTTTAACTGCTGACACTAAAGATAGATCTAAACTTTAAATCCTTCATCAGTCCCACCGTTGTCAGCAGCTGAATAATTAAATGCAAATTGAAACATTATTAGTTGGATTAAACCATAACAACATCTGTCAGTGTTCAGTGAAGAGCACACGATATTTATGGACAGATTGGTGGAAAGTTAATTATTTTGAACATTAATTATTTTGTTGAACAAACATTGTTTAACAAAAAATAACCCAATAATATCTTCCTGAATTGATATCAGTTTTATGACAGCTGTATCTCCTGGACTATACATTCTACGTATAGTCCAGGAGATACAGCTGTCAAAAAATGTTACGTCACACTTAATAAGTTGTATTTCCTTTTTTTCCTAAGGCTCTGGTTGAGTCGACAAAAAAATAAAATATTTTTGTCACCAAAATCTGGGAATTGATCCATCCATCCAGGTCGCGGGGGCAGCAGTCGCCACCCAAATCACATTGCACCGTGCCAAACCTTCCTGCGGGTGGTGAGTCCACTGGAAGGTACCAACCGCCCTAACCGGGATTCGAACTTGCCCAGGAGGTGAATCCTGGGGTTCCACACCAATGACAGAGACATTGCCTCTGGGCCAAAGCGCCACTCTGGGAATTGATAAGTCAGTTATTTCCTTTCAAATTAGGCCACTCCTAATGAATACAGGAAGAGAACGAGGAAACACTCCACAGCTGCTGACTGGAATGTTCCAATGAAGATAGCATTAAGACCTGGCCCTGAAGTGAGAAAAGCTCAAGTATTTATTGTTTGGTGAAATTCCTGTAAAGACACAGCGGTGCTTAGGGCAACCAGATTGTGAAGTGGTAGATGTTAGGAAATAAAAGACTACTTGACATTAAAAGCTTTTTAATGGAGTACAAATAATGATTAACAGAGTCTTGACTTAACAACACAGTCACTGAAATTAGATTAAAAAAATCCGATCTCAAGACTTGCTGCAAAATAGTAACAGATGTGCACTAGTTTGCATTTTAAGTCATTTTAGGATTGGTGACTTTTTAACTATGTCTTTTTAACATTTTCTCCAGTTATATTTGGTCTTTTATTCAATAATTTAATAATTACATCTGACCTTATTAAAAATGGTGGTTATAGATTTTATATAAATATCCAAATCCTGTGATCATGTCATGTGCTGTTCATTGACTGGTCAACTTGTTACAGTAACAAGTGCTGATGGTGTTTTTTATAGAAGCAGGATAATAGAAGTCCAGTTCCAGCAGAGTAAAGGCAGAGACAGGCTGAAGGACAACTGTCTCAGCCAGCCAACTACACTCTGGCTGAATGCAGCTCATTGTTAGGAGTTTGTAAAAGCTGTGGAGCCACCAGACCGTGTCACACTAACTGACCAGCTCCCTGTCGTGGCCTAGGTTCAGGGAGATTTCATCACTACAGTGATGCCCCCTCTTCATTGACTTTTTTGGGGGTTTACTCACAGAAGGAGAGTTTTGGCCTTGAGCCAAAGGTTCATATCTTTGTAGTTTGAATCTGGCAGTTGAAATGTGTATTAAAATAACTATTAACTATAATAGCAACATTATCATGTCAATTTTCAGGATAATTCTGTACAAAAGGGAGGGGAGATGCAGTTTAAAAAATAGCTCAATATTTTCATTTTTGATTCAAAATAAACTAAAATAGACTGGAAAAAAAATCATCTGGGTGTTTGCTACTGCTAACTTCCTATCTGACAAAGCTAAACTTCTGAAACTTTTAACAGAACTTTACCCATTAATAATATGAAAAATCAATCATTAATGTCTACATCAAAAAGTGCATTTGTAATTTTCCAAATTAAGAAATATAGGAATTTATTCCTAAAATATTGAAACATTAAGGTAGGCAAATCGCTCTGATCTACATTCTTAGCTGCTGCCTGGTCCAATTCATTAATTTTTATCAACTTTACACTTAAAACTTTGTATTTGCTCTACTCATGTTAAATTCATGAGACTTTTGAACACTGTACTCTAGTGGATATTACAATGTTGCTTTTAAAAGCAAACATTTATTAAGTTGACAGTAATATTCTGTGTTAGTGGAGACTCCGTTATATTTTAAGAAAAAAAAAGAAAGAAACTAATTGCACACAGGGGAGTAGATTTTTTTTTTTTTTTTTTTTGCATATTTCCTCTTGTCTTAGAAGGAAAAGCTTGTCTGCTGGGACAAGAACAGCATTTTCCACCACAAATGAAACCATTCCAAATATCGCTGAGGTAAAGTGGACGTTGGTTGTGTGCTATGCAGGTCGTTGGCAACTGTCTGGCCTTCATGTTGTCAAAGAGGCTTTGTTTGGCTCCAAATTCCACTGACCTTGTTGGACAACAGGGAGGAGAAACCAAACAGGAGACAATAGAGGGAGGTGGAGGAGAGAGGGGAGTGAGGTGAAAGGAGGAAAGTGAAGAAAGGATGGAGAAAATGGGAATAAACAATGAGATGTTGAAACGAGAGCAGGGGAATCACGGGAAGGCAATGGGCAGGAAAGAAACAGAGCAGTCGCACAAATATAGTTGGGGTTGATATTATCTCGATTTCTCTGTCTATTTTTCAATGCATTCCTACAGAGTAAAAAACAGCATGTCATGTTTTTTTTTAATTTAAAACATTAATATCCAATCTGATCTTAGCAGACCTTTTTTTCTTCATTAGCTCAATAAAGGATGTTTGGTTAATTTTACTCACTGAAGCTCGTTTTCAGATTACTCTACCAGCTCTCCAGTAGCTTTAAGTCAGGGATTCATGTAGGGCCAAATGTAGGAGCATGCCACGTGTCTGTGATTGTTTGAGAAAGATTCATCATGCATTTGAAAGAGAGAACGATAGTCGGAAAGACTGTGTGTGTGTGTGTGTGTGTGTGTGTGTGTGTGTGTGTGAAAGAGAGACATAAAGAGAGAGAGAGAGAGAACGAGAAAGTGTAGAACAAAAGGCTTTTGTTGTGAAAGTGCCCATTTAGAATCTTCTCCTGGTTCCGAATGGCTCCACTCCACTCAGTCCCAGCAGCCTATAGTGCTTTGGCCTAGTTTCTCATGGAGTCTCCACACACACACACACGGCGACAACAGCGTATACTCCTGACGGCCTGCTCATTATTTATGGCACAGATCATCACAATTCCCCCAGACTTAGCCTTCATTTCTCTCTGGAGGGGTGAACAGAGGACAAAGGGAAATGTTTGCCCTGTTTGCCCTGGGATCACACACCAGTCATTACATTTTACTGCACAGTACGTTTGCTTAACATATGTAACAGCTGCTTTACAGCAGTGGCCGGCAGCACACACGAGCGTAAATCACAGGAAGCTGTAGCTCTATAAACAACCTTATTTTTTTATCACTTCAGTCGTTGCAATATCAGTCATTATCAGAATCATTGTGGCATGAAGAAAGTGCTGTGGGTTAAACGGCCTTAAAATATCTGTGAACCGCCGCTGAAATTCTCACGATTTTTTTTTTTCAAGGCTTTACATTTGCAGCCGACTGGTTACATCAGGTTTTATTTAATATCATATCTTTGGTTTAAAGTGTCTTTGCACTACTTAAAGTTATACACAAGATGCCTTGCACAGCTACATATACTAACCAGCAGGGGGGGTCTGATTACACAATCTGCTGTATCTCCTCTACTTTTGTGAGTAATTGCTTCTGTTAATAATTTCTTATTAACAGTGAAATTCTTATTGAACATTGAGGCATTTTAAAAACGACAAACCGCTGTTTTCAGATACCAAAAAAATACGAGCACACATTATAATACACATGATGCTAACTGAGCAGAAATTAAGCAGGGATGAGAGCTGGTCGTGTAAACAGCTTAATATTATGGGATGTCTTTCCCTTGATGTTACTGGAGCTTATTAAGCCGAGCTCCTCAGGTCTGTTTGAACTCTCTTCAATCACCTGCGCTACATGATTCTGTTCCTGCATTTATTACACATGTATTTGCAGCCCATGAAGCTTTGATTGTACAGATACGACATCAGGGATTAATGTAGACCCAGTTTGGCTTCATTTCTAGTTTGATGCTATTCCATTGGCTGCACTTGAAATCATTTAATGTTGTTGGAATAAGTTAAAAGAGCATTTCAGGGACAAATAAAGTATGTAAAAATGTATTATCTGGCTAATTTAAAGCTAATGTTTGCTTATTAGTTTTTTTGTCTGTTTTTTTTTTCTTTTATTTCTGGCTTTTTTGCCAACTTCTATTTCTTTTGCAATATAAAGCTTTTTTGCAACAGTTTGTTTTTTCAATTTGATTACATTTGTGTTCATTTCTATAGTAGTTTTCTTAAATTTGAGCATATTCCAACTGATATTTCTTCCTCAGCTGTTTTTTAGCTACTGTACACATTCATATTTTGTATTTGTGCTGTTTCATATTTGTTTAAACCGAATGGATATAATTTTAAAGAAAATCACGTCGAGAAATACCTTTGGACAAGTCGGTGTTTTTCCATTCATTTTCACCCAACTAGTCACATTATAGCTCTGTACAGACTCAGTATGCTGGTACATACTGACCCCTACTGCTGGTACCGAGCCATGACCTGGCTGAGTGAAAAGTAGCCTCGGGGTAGCAGGGCAGTTGTTGGGGAGGATAAGGTTAATGAGGTACAGAATGGTCACAGTGATGGTGTTTGTTGTTTATGTTTAGGATCGGTGTCCTGTGTGCATATGCTGCCAACCAGAACCTGAGCTCCCAGGTGAAGAACATCCGCAGATTGGTGAACAGCAACATGAGGGACCTGCACACCTTTGTCAACGACACACCAGTAGTAAGACACCATTTATAACATATATTGTATTTATTTGTGTTTTATTCTCACTTTTTTCTATATTGTAGGCAAATATTTAAGGTTAAACTAAGTATTTATTGTTAATTTCTTTTTGCTCTTTTGGCTGAACTAGATTTGTTCTAGTTATCATTAGCTGAATTAGCTTTTTAACATTTAATTTTTGACATTTTAAGCTACTATGGCTAATCTTTTAGCCACGTTTTAGCAGAACTCTCTACTGTTAGGTTAACTTATACAGTTGTTTTACTCATAATAACTTTATTCTACCTCATGTTCCCTTTTCTTTGCTTTTGTCTATTTGCAGCAAATCGATTACCTCATATCCCAGTATGCTACAGCTAAGAAAAAAGTCATCTATGACCTTAATAGTAAGTAAACCACCTTTATTTTCTTGTGTTTATTCAAGTCCTGTTCCTTCAATAACATATGTATTGTCATAAGTCAGTCTGCTGTAAAGATATTAAATATAACAAACTTTTCTGTCTCCTGATACCACTAACTTTAAGTTTATACAGGCAAAAGCGATACCATTGTTATCACAAAATTAAAGTATTATGTCTGACAGTGATGCTATCATCCCTGCAGACATAGGCCCACTGCTGGGGGGAAGGATACAAGATCAGCTGGATAAGGAAGTGCAGCCTGCCCTGGACAGAGCACTGAATATGGCTGCAGGTACATGGACTCCTTTTTAATTTCCTCTCTCAGTAATGATACAATCAGGTTACTAGAGCAGGGTGCTACACAAGTCAGAATGAAACAACATAAACCTTATTACTTTCAATGTCAGATTATTTTTTTAATAATGAGATCTATAAAATTCAATGTTGATCATTTGTGAATATTTTCTTCACATTTCACTATTGTTTATGCTTTTTTGTAAAGTGAAAATCGAGAGAGCCATCAAAGGTAACAGTGACTCAGTAACTAAACTAATGAACCTGTATGACCCTGTGGACTTGTGGTTCCTTGTGACCCTCTCCTTGAATACTGAATCACGGTCGTTGATTCACTCATATGCATCATTTTCTGTTGAGCTTTATCATCTATTTTCCTATAAATGGGATCAAAATTCACCAACTGACATCTTGGTGTTGGCAACAAAGGGAACGGAGTGAAACTTATTTAACATTCAGGCAATCCATCACTAATGAATCCATTCATACAGAACTTCAACTTCAAACCCAGCTGAGTACTTTCTGTATTTCCCAGTGAGGGACCTGGTCCATAGTTTAAACTCTAGTCCGATGTATAGTTCTCTGAGAAACTGTTCTAAATTCAACCAATCATTCTACACATGAGATGATTTCCTGTTTTTGTTTGTCACAAACTAACCTTTTGACCTGCATGTAACCTGCCTGTGCTCCTGCACTGCATGACTGGACACTTACAAGTCATAACAACATGTACCACCGAGGCTGAGACATCAATTAGATATTAGCAAGTCTTGGTGAAAAGGACAGCAAAGTTTCCATGTTTTACATTCAATTTTCAGTAGTTTGAGTATGTAGCTGATCCTACGTGTAACCTTTCTGTTCCCACAGTCATGAGAGAGACCAAAGAGGCTCTGGAGAACGTCAGTGTTTCTCTGGAGGTCCTTCAGGAGGGGACAGGGAAACTCAACACAGACCTGAGTTTGGTGCGAACAGGTATAAACCAAACCCTCAACAATCCTGCCTGTAATGTGGTAGACTCTGACGCCACCATTGCCCAGTTGTGTCGCAACATTCGCCAGTCACTGCACCAGCTGCAGATCAGTGCAAACTTCATAAGGGTATGCAAATCAACACTGCATTAACATGTCCTTTTATGGGAACTCTATCCTTTGTTTTTAAAATTGTGAATATGTCATGAATATTTAATGTTTCAGCTGCCCAGTGTGAACCCTCAGCTGGCTAAGATGAATGAAGTACTGAAGACAGACCTCAGCAGCATCATCAAGAAGGTCGGTCTGTCTCTGATGCAGATTTCCTTGTCCTAATGCTATTGACTGTACTTTGTCAGATTTAACACCATTGACCATCTGACATTATTCAAATGCAAAATATCTGAAAAGGTTACCTCTCGGGGTACAAGAAATCAAAGTAGTAGTTCTAGTATTGTACTGTGATTGTACATTTCTATGCCACCTACATGTATATTTATATATAAGGAAGAGGAAACATATGCTAATGAATAATCTGTGTCAAAATAAATTACACTTCCATTTGCAGTCACATCAGTGGGAGTTATAAAACCTCTGTGACTAGATTCCATTCAGTTGTCTTTTCTGTCATTTAATAACAGCAATTTTTCTCTTAACAGGGTTTTTCCTCATTAAATGACACTCCACGTTTGGTGTCTGAACAGACCAGGATCATTGTGGAGAGTAAGCAATGTCACATGTTTTATTATTTAATCCACAAAAAATAAAAAATAAAAACAATAATGTTAAACTTGAAATAACTGATTCCTCTCTCTACATATCAGGTATATTGAATCTGGTGGACGGGATTGGTCAGGACATCAGCAGCTTCTCCAAAAAATTCCCAGTAAAGAACACCCTGTCAAACCTCACCATCTTTGTCAACCATGCTCATGCTAAGATCGAGGACCACTACCCCGAAGTGGACAAAATAGACTTTTACAGGTAAACTAACCTACACAAGTCCAGGATATCATGTAGTCGTTTCTGTATCAAAGTTAAGAAAACAAACCAAAGTTTTTATTTTCTCTGTTAAGCTCTGTCTTTCTCTCCCACCTGACCTACAGGTGGATTTGCTGCATTGCTCTCTGCTGCATGATTGTCCTGGTCCTGGCCTTCAACTACCTGGGTCTGTTGTGTGGCACTCTTGGATACGACAAACACGCCTCACCCACCACGCGAGGCTGTATCTCCAATATGGGAGGGACGCTACTCATGGCGTAAGTTGTATAATGGAGTGTGACATTTTTGTGCTATACCAATTACTTCTAAGTCAAACTGTACCCATTATTGATTAGAAAGTTACTTTTCTAACAGTTTTACTTATTTCCACAGTGGCGTCGGATTCAGCTTCATCTTCTCCTGGCTGCTGATGGGAGTGGTGACAGTCATCTTTCTCACAGGAGGGAACATTGAGAAACTTGTCTGTGAGCCTTTTCAGACCAAAGAAATCTTTAAAGTGAGTCATGAGCAAGAACTGTAGAGACATAATGCTGTGGAATACTTCAGCCAGTACTCTATTTAACTATCCACTAAGGTCTGAATACAGAGAAATGAAAGGAAGTCTGGAAATCACTGCCACGGTGGAGGAAAAATTGAAAAAACCTTAGCCGAGCAAAAGCTTGTAGTCAGTCCAACTGATATTAGGACCATTGTAGTATTTTGTGTTTTAATTTATTTCATAATTACAAAAATATTACAACTCGAATATGAAAGATTCCAAGTCTCTTTACATCGGTCTATAACAACAGATTTTTTTTGTCTTCATAAATTGTTAAGTATTATAACATTTACATCTTCAGGTTGTGGACAGTCCATATATGGTGAAACCAGAGTGGAAGAATTTCATCCCTGGACTTATATACGACGACTCTGATCTTGATCTGACTGCAGAGAGCCTGTACAGGTATAGAAAATGAATTCTTATTTCCATAAATCGTGTTTTTCTCCGTGTCACATCAAGTCAACAACTAACAGCCAACAAGACATTAAGATGCAGGTGGTGCAATAACAAGAGATACATAAATATTTAAACTCTCACTGATGTGAATGCAAATGAAAATGTACTTAACAGTATTGTGTTAACATTGATTGTTTATAAGCATATTTGTTTCCTCCTTCCTCTGTGATTGCATCAGTTAACCACTGTTGTCTTTTGATTGACAACCTACACATTCTCAACTACATGAAAAAAAAATTCAAAGGCCATTATTAGCCAATCACAGCAGGGTCAGCTGCATGCACTAATAAAGCTGTGCTTAAAATCAATGTTTGTCATTGCAGAAGTAACAGTATTTTTTTCAAAACTAGTTTCATGTTCATTTAGCATGCACATTGTGTAATTCCAGCCAACCTCACTTGATGGCAGCAGATATTTTCTGTAACTCAGAGTGCTCCGCTTCAATTCCCTTCTTATTGATTCCTTGTGGTTGTTTTTGTGGTTTTTCAGCACATGTAAGGAGAACAAGGGCATCTACCAGGCCCTGCGTATGGACAAAGTCTTCAATGTCTCCTCTTACCTCAACACCACAAGGGTCAGTAAACCTGAAGACACGCTGCCCACACCGTACAGTACATCATTATGTCCTAACTGGACTCTCCTGAAAAACACTCACTCGTCTTGTCAAAAAGCCTGATTTAAATTTTTTTTTTTTTGGCTTAAATTTAGCTATTTGTTAGCGAACCAATTATTATATCATGTCTGGGTTTTAACAGGTGGGGCTATTTTTATGCAATTTAAAGACTTTTAGTGATGCTATGGCTACATCCAAGCTCTGTATGGTCTACTACAGTAATACAGGCTTCTGTTGCATAATTCACTATCATTTTAAATTGCAGTCATACAATAAAGTTTTGTTATAGATCCCAAAACTACATTTAGCTAAACAATATGACTGAAGTGGAAAGTACAGTGTACAGTACAGTCTTTGAATGTATAGAGACTGATAACAGAGACTGTCAACATATCCTAACTGACTGCGCTGCCTGTTTCCACCCTGGTTAGAACTGTACACGACTGTGACAGTGTTGGAGTTAAAACATCTTCTCTTGGCTGCAGCATCTCATTAACATGACTCAGTGGTGTGTGCCGACAGAAGCTCACTCACAGTGAACTCCTCAGTCATTTCACTGATGGAAGTTTTCTTCCTGACCCCGAGCCAGCCTCAGAGACATTCTCTGAAACGCTCAGTACTTCTCTGCCTGCTGGCACAGCTCGGGGTCTTGGCTCATTTTCTCCAGCAGCTGATATGAGTCTGTGCTGCGTCTGTTTCTGCACATTGGTCATTTGTCCTCATTTCAAGTCTGCACATGTCCAAAAACATGGCACGTCATCTGTGGTTCAGGAGCGAAGCCAAGGAAAGTAGTAGTTCTTAACTGTGAGATAAAGATCTACCTAGATATCTTGGTATATGAAAAGAAGAGCACTAGTAAAATAAACTGAAATATGGCATTAATAAATCTGCATCTGTGGTGAGAACATTATGGCAGAAGTGTGGTCCATGGGCCATTACTTATACTGGCATCAATTTTGGTAGTCCACACATACTTATTTATGCTTCTATTTTCTATTTTTTTATTTATAGAATCACATATTATTATTTACAGTTTCAAGTATCACAGGTGATGATGTTGGGCCGGGATTGTTTTTACATATTTCATACAGTCCTGCTTAAAAAATGTCCAAATACTGCCTCTCCTGTCCTTTATTCATATCTTTCCTGTGCATATCTGTCTTTGCAGTTCACTAAGGATGTAGTGGGTCATCTGGACAACATCAGGATCAACCTGATAGGAATCATCCTGTTAGAACCAGAAGGGAAGCAGAACCTGCTGGATTTCTCCGAGGCCGGACTGTCAGAGATTAACTACGCTGACTATCTGGAAGAGGTCATACAAACTCACTCGTACACACAAACACACATGCACACAAATTTGCAAAGATTGATTAGACTTGAACTATGGGGTGTGTAAACATTTTTTTCATAAAAACAAAGTATATTTATTAATGACATGATTTAGATTTATCAAGAACATTAAAATCTAAAAACAAATCTTATCAAAGAATTGTAATCACTATTTTTAATTAAATATGTCTATATACAGTATATTTATAAACTTTGCTCAGTATTAGCAAAAAAGAAGAAAACACAGAAATAGCTAAAAGTTAGCCAAAGAATTTATCAATTTTTTCTTAGAATGGTGTCTAATATATGCTGAATATTAGATTAACATTTCGTAGATCTTACATTTGATTTAAACTCTCATTCATAACAATTTAGTATCAAATATTGATTTTCTGAGTTTAATCTAAACATAAAGTCATATATTTTCATAGCAATCATGCTTAAACAGTACCAAATGTTGAACTAGTGACCCAGGTTCATAATATGCGTTTAAACATCCTGTGCTGTCAGTGGATACACAGCAGGAGTCTGCACTTTAACATGACGTGACAGCGGCAGCACACTGTACATCAGACTCTGGTGGGGAAACACAGAAGCTCAGTAATCCTACAGTGATCCTGACAAGGTGAAGCGTGTGTAGACAAGCAGGGACATGGCATTTGCTCATTTCCCAGCACCACCTGTCAGGTCCGCTTGGATTTGACTCCAGAGGGGAAGAAAGAATGAGGACAACATTCCAGTTCAGAACCTGTCCAAACATCTCACTTATTGAGTCTTTGACCTCAGAGAGTTGGCTTCATCTAATCTCAAGTCTCTTAGCATATAATCCTCAAATTTAATTTTTTTTATTCGTAGGTGAATAAAGGAGTGACTGTTGTCGACCTGCGCTCGTTTGCCGCAGAGCTGGAGGCCCAGGCTGACCTCATGGTGAGAACAAAACACCTCAGTTGCATTTGTAGATTTCTGTTGGACCCTGCTGGGACACCTGGTGAGGGTTTATCCAGCTGTCCTGCCAAGTTCTCTCACCAGTGTGCCATGCCTTCGGGTGATTTGAGCCACAAAGCACATTTATTCATCACCAAAAGTCACGCCCTGGAGCATCGTGGAGTTCTCGTGGATAATTTTTGAACAGCAATGACTCATTTATTGGACCTGTCATATTTTACATTTTGGACATAATCGTTAAAATATAACTCTACGGTGCACATATTGAATATTATTTAATTAAATGTGACAAATGTACATGTAAAACATTTGATTTATGTTAAAACACCTTTTAATGTATATTTATAAATATATATTTCTATAGGATGTAGTAGTGACCATTTACTGTAAGAATTAAATCATATTATGCCCTAGAGGTATTTGCATTAAGTGTACTACTCTACTAATAGCATTTTCTCCAACATACAATTTATATAAAAAGTATGTTCAGTTTATATATGTAAATATATGCTATATTTAATGTAGGTAGATCACTTTAACTCCCAAGTCAACAATTTATAACACTGATCTTGGAGCAGCCAGGGTGAAGCCAAGATGAGAGTTAGCTAAAAAACAAAAGTACATGTTTGCCTTAAGATTTGTCATCTTTGTAGGTGAAAATGTTACTGTTAGACTGGTACCAGACGAGTTACGGCGTGGATTTTTGGAAAAAGTCAGTGAAGTTTTGACAGGTGAAGCAGAAGGATTTTTCCCTCACATGTGTTCAGTTTCAGAGGTTACCAATATGAAATCTGGACTCATTGAAAATGCCTTAAATACCATATTTTATTTTTTTGATTGTGCTGTACTTTGTGTCCTTCAGCCCCGAGGTTCTCTCCAGATGGCTCTGACAGGTTACAGCAGCAGTCTGAGACAGATCCACAGCCAGCAGGTCATCCCCATGGAGCAGGCCATGGTAACTAATGTTCTTTGACAGTTAAGATGACCATCAACTCTTTTCAATTTCTTCTGTCACCGTTTAAAACTTGTTTAAACATATTTTTTGTTTTGTTATTTCCTTGTCTTTCAATTTGAAGAAATATGTTAGAGCCAGGGTAAGGAGACTGTGTCTTTTCTACTGTAACTGTGTATCTGCATGATTCTGATTATTTAAAAATTAAAAGCATATATGTATATAGCGTTACATATACTATATGCTGTCTTCTTTTTGTGCTTTTGTGTTTTTTCTTTTATGCTGTATATTCTTTATATCATATAAAATCATTATTAGTAGATAAATGTAGTGGGCAGTGGGTATTACCTTAAATTAGAACTATGGTATTAGAATATATATATATGTATATATATACATATATATATATTCTAATACCATAGTTCTAATTTAAGGTAATACCCACTGCCCACCACATTATTCTACTAATAATGA